ACCTCTTGATGAGATCAGCGGGTAATGCTTGGTCAGTGAAAACCCAATTCTTGTAAACAGCTGAAGACATCTCAATAGAGTATGGTCCAGGCAAAAATGATTGCTCTATAATGCCACCTGCATTAATCAGTGATTGCCTAGCGAGTCCATTGATATTTATGGTGTCACGATAGTGAGGAAGTAGAAGCTTATAAATTGGGTGAACTACACTGAGATTCCTATTGGTTGCTATGACAAATGGCTCCATTACTGCATGAGTATTTAACCTGTGACCCAATCATGGAAAAAAAAAGAGATTAATTATAATTTCATTCATTATATAGACTAAACATGTAAATAAATGTTGCTAGAAGAGTTCTTACCAATGGCTCATGAGCTGATGATAGCCAGAGTCATTTACTATAACATGAGCCTTAGCTAATAGCCAAATTGTACTTTCAACACCTTCGTTAGCAGGCAACACCACTTTACTCTCAGCACCAAATTGAACTCCATTTGGATGTGGCTTACTTAATTCGATAGCAAGTGGTTTCAAAGTCCCATCATCTTTCAAAAACAAGATTGTTCTTGTGGCATAAGCCTTTGCAGAAGGTAAGCTATTGATCTTGGTCAAAAATGGCATGAATGCATCTTGGTAATCTAATATGAATAATCTGAGACTCCCGATTGCCTGTTACCCAAAATTTAATTTCAATCACTTTGTTTAATGGCTTTGAATCACAAACAATATGTCTCTATAGAATAGTTCTAATTCAAGTATAGAAAATATTTTTTTTTTTAATATTTTAAAAATATTGAAAGTTTTAACTTTTATTTAGTATATTTACAGTGAAACATTTATATGATTACCTGATCCACTGTGACCCCACCCATGTTAATCTCCAATTGTTCTTTTGTTATTGTGCTAGTTTGATCACCGTAGAGTGTGGGATCTAGAGTGCTTTGTGGGGGGAACTCCTGCCATTATTAAAGGATAACATGAGGAAACATGACGAATATTCTGATAGTGACTCATTGTTAGGCCATAAAACAATTTAACACTAACATCAAAATTCACCAATTAGGCATCTTAATGATAAGACATTTGGACTTACTTGAAGACGGCGAATCACACAAGGGTTAACCCCAGCAATCATCTCCCTAGCAAATTCATCATCAGTCATCCAAGCAGACTTGCTAACTGCTCAAAATAAAATAAAATTGTGAAATTGGATAATTGAATTAACAAATGCCAACAAAACTTTTAAGTTATTTGATTAAGGTATATATGAACCTTGGATTACATGGGGTGGTGGAAATTGAAGGACATTTTCACCATCGCTGCGGAACAATTCGGAGAGGGCTGGTATGGGACTAATTTGGCTAAGTATATTTGTTGGCAGCTTAATTCCACCTTCATAGAGGCTACGCACTTCATCGAAGCTATCAAACTCATTTGGTGTGAAATTTAAGTCAAAAATCACGGATTGTAACGCTGGCAAGACGTTCTGAGATAAAGATTTTATTCCATATGTCAGAAAATCTGATGACTTCAAGTGACCAAAATTTTCATCTCTTGGAACATAAACCTCCCCCGGTTGCTCACTGTTAGGATCTGTAATTAATCAAACATATAACAGTCAAATAAATATCAGCAAACAATCAAATTGAATGTATAAAATTCCACAACTTCATTTAAAATAAAACTGCAAGTGCCTTTTTTTCACATTTTGACCTCTGCTTTGTGCTGAACAAAACACTACCAAAATAATTACATGCTACATGTTCTTAATACAACTATGGTTCAGGACTACATTAAAACTAGATATATCACGGTTAATTATATATAACTAAAAGAATAATTGAATGTATAAAATTAAAAAATAAAAGCCTAACCTTTCCTTGTGGGTTTTCTACCAGTTCTAACCCTGCGAGGGTAAGGATGAGTGCTAGACCCTCCAAGGATTGGACGAGCATACTTTTCACCACTATCTGGATTGCCCAAATCATTATACACATCATAATCATAGATCCTATCATATGGTTGGCGCACCCCTTTTCCATCTCCTCTTAAATTTTGCAACTCTTCTTCCCTGTACTTTACTAGAGGAGATGGTGTTGCACTTGGAATATATGTCTGCAATATTTATAAAATTTTGTAATTTCAATCATTATAAAAATGGATGCCACACGTAACATCATATATCATTATATTTAATTTTTTATCTTTTATCTTTTCTATATATACTTATTTTAAGATACATATCAATTACAAAGGTGATTCATAAATGCATCCATAATTAGTGATAGGAAGACCATTTCTGATATTTATACTTTCTCATGAGAACTTAAAATAATTGGGATCATAGTTGAATAAAAAAGGGGCTAGTTTTTGTTAATTAAAATTGTAAAACTACAAGCAAGGGGCTTGGCTTACGTTATGGTCGAAGAAAATACGCTCCTTTTTGTTGTAACTTTTAAAGTTGTAAACCCATGAGTTACAAACAAAGTGAATGGTTCCATGGTTTGGAATGTCCTCAAGAGTGACACTAACGAGGAAGAACTCATCAGTCATATAATTATTAATGTAAAATGCTCCTGGAATTCCAAAATCAGCATTCCATTCAAAATGAACACTGAATGCATCTTGTCTTGCTCCCAACGTTGGTAACGTCGGAAGGTGTTTATTCAAATACGCTTCTTTTCCAACTTTCCCATTTCCGTTTGCTGCAAAAATCCCACAAATAAAAGAAGAGGATTAAAATGACGAGTCTGTGATGGAACAATAATCTTTAAAATGTGAGCTTTCATGAATATTTTAATTTATAAAGTACAAGTGCATAGCTGTCCTTGAAATAATAATAAAAAAAGTAAGTTACGTCAGCCACTTGTTTGCATGTGATTATTTTAAACTAAGGTATGAGTAATAATATTTAACAAGTACTTATCTATTAAGCGGGCATTTAGAAAAAGTGCTTATAATTTTGAAGAGTTGGGACATAAATATACGTAGTAAAAGATGAAAAAAAAAATATTTGAGTTTAACTTTAATTTATTATTGATGTAAAATTTTCATATTATTAATTAATTAATTAAAATTTACAGTAAATGTAATTTTTATTCATTATCATAAAAATTAACGATTGTTATTTATGTGATATTACATTATTAAATAATAGTTTACGGATTTTTATACTTTTAATAGATTTTAATTAAATTCTAAAAATTATGCAGATGACATGATGTAGCCACAAAAATTTGAAGAAAAATAAAATACTTCACAGGTATACAAAAATTAAAACTTTCAGGATAAGTTTTTGATACTGTATTTCAATTTTCTAAGTGATAAGAAAATATCTAAACAAAAAACTTAATTGAGATATTTATGTAAAGTCATTTTATGTAAACGGTAGTCAAGACAAGCAACTTCTTCCGTCATTAAGATTTGAAATGGATATTCAATTATACAGTCGTGTGTTGATGGAACATATATGAAAAGAGAGAGAGAGAGAGAGAGAGAGAGAAAGAGAGAGAGAGAGAGGGAGAGATAGAGAGAGAGAACAAACAATCAGTTTTGGTAGCACTGATCAACTTTATGGAAACGCTGCTTCCTAAGAAGGCAGTAGCAGCGTCAATGGCACCGCCAACTACGCTTGTGGCGGTGCCAAAGATACCACCAACAGTGCCAACAATACCCCCTTTCCCAATTGAAGTGATGGCGTTGAAGTCCAAAACATTTTTGGGCATCAACACCACTGTCCCCTTTATCTTCTGACCCTTATTGCCAAAGATCGGAAGCATCTTTTCAGTTTCTTTTGCCTAATGAATGAGATTCAGGAGATTGTAGCTTAGCTTGTTACTTGTGAGTTTTGATGAAGCCAAGTAAGCTATTTATAGACCCTGGAGAACCATAAACGAGCCTGTGTCCTCTTTTCAATGCCTAATACTTTTATGGGCCACCAACACCATATGCAACACGTGAAATGATTTCAACCCATTATCAAAATGGATTCCTTTTTCTTTCTTTTACACATATTTTGCTTTTGTTTTTATGTATTCAACTTCAATAATCTTTACATTTACAGACGATGTTCGTTTTATTAAATCATATTATCCTCTTTTTCTGTTTTAAAGAAATAGAAAGATTAATTATGTTATACTTCAATTATTTTAATGTGAAGAAACCATATAAAACTAATTGTTCGTATGTAATTCTTAACAGCATCGATGTTAGTTTAATTTTAAAATATAGTATTTAATATAATTAATAATAAATTATATAATTTTAAAGAAGTTATTTATGCTTAAATATATATATTAAAAATAATATAATCTTTTAATTATATATATTTTTATAAAAAGTAGTTTTGTTTAAACCAAATAAAATCATTATAAGTGACAAATTTTTCTTTAAATGTTTTAGCACATTTTTTATATTTGTAACTCGAATCTACGTGATCTTAACAGTTTAAAGATGCAAAGCTCGTCACCTTTTAGTATATAATTTAGACATGGATGGTTTGCTTTTCACCAAATTCAATTAAAAAACGAAAGAAAATACACCAATCTAATTGAATTGACGAAACTCCTCGATCCACTGAGTCACACTTTATTGAAGTTTGGACTTTTTTATTTTTATTTTACCAAAACGGGGTGATTCTACCTCTTTCAATTTTACCCCCCAGTGTAACTTAAAAAAAAAATAATTAAAATAGCGTCTATTAAATTGATAGCATTCAAATAATAATAAAAACACTTTTATAACGTGGTTTGATTTCTATAAAAAGTAAATCCATTTTAACACTGAAGTTATAATTTTCATGCTAAAACACACATTGTTAACACTTTTAAGTTATAATTTTCACTTTAAAACACACATTTTGTACTATTTTCAAACATGCATTTATTATATCCAAATTGAGAGCATCCAAATACAGGAGTAAAGATACATGGAGAATACTTACACGTAGACCTGCATCATCTGTTCTTTTAATTTATACGGCGTGCAATCTAACATCTGTTATTGGAAAGTAAAATAAAAAAGGAAACCAAACATTCCTTTTAGATAGAGATACTGTTGGGAATTCCTTTAAAAGTCATTCCTTCCTCACTAGAACGATAGAGCAATGTGTAAGGCAACTGAATTGGTCCAAAACGATTTCTCAAACTTGGATCATTGTTCCTTCCTGTGATTTTCCCCTCTATTTCTGTCAGCTTAGTTCCAAACTTTTCAAAGGCTTCGATTGCCTTTGAATCAGATGTCCAAAAATCTGTGTCCCTCTGCCCAAGGTATACCTCATCAGAAGCATGCCTTGACAATATCTCTATCACTGAAATGTCAATAAGGGTTTGGTACTTTGGTGTGATTGTTCTAAGATAAGCCTTTTGAGAACTCTTCACCATCTCATCATATTCTTTAGTTCCTGGTTCTGGGATAAATCTTCTGCTCATAGTTGGACGGTTCAAGATTAAACCTCCATATGGATATTGTCCAAAATTAACAGCTGCATGGAGAGCTGAACCAGTCCATATAATTATAGAACAGGAATGAATAAGGTCTTCAAGAGTTTGCATCCTAGGCCACCATGGCTTATCTTTCAAGTCTGCATGACCCTTTTCTACAGCTTCTTTCCACCAAGCTTGCAGCTCCTTATCCTGTTGAACTGCTACATCTGAAGGGTAATACAAGGAGACATATTCTTCGACCCATGTCTTAATAGCATCCCATATTTCTAGTCCATCAACAGCATAAGGGTAGTCTTCAATTACAAGACGAAGGCCATGTGGGGCAGTGGGATCCTCAACTGCCAGTCCTCTAAATCAATCAAAGAAATTGTTGTTGACAATTAGAATATTGTTTTTTAAGTCTCTTAATACAATAATTAAATATTGTATTTAATTATTTTTATAGTGACGTTGTGTTTAATAAAGATTACCTCTTGATGAGATCAGCGGGTAATGCTTGGTCAGTGAAAACCCAATTCTTGTAAACAGCTGAAGACATCTCAATAGAGTATGGTCCAGGCAAAAATGATTGCTCTATAATGCCACCTGCATTAATCAGTGATTGCCTAGCGAGTCCATTGATATTTATGGTGTCACGATAGTGAGGAAGTAGAAGCTTATAAATTGGGTGAACTACACTGAGATTCCTATTGGTTGCTATGACAAATGGCTCCATTACTGCATGAGTATTTAACCTGTGACCCAAAGAGGAAAATAAAGATTAATAATAATTTCATTCATTACTGACTAAACATGTTAATAAATGTTGCTAGATGAGTTCTTACCAATGGCTTATGAGCTGATGATAGCCAGAGTCATTTACTATAACATGAGCCTTAGCTAATAGCCAAATTGTACTTTCAACACCTTCGATAGCAGGCAACACCACTTTACTCTCAGCACCAAATTGAACTCCATTTGGATGTGGCTTACTTAATTCGATAGCAAGTGGTTTCAAAGTCCCATCATCTTTCAATAACAAGATTGTTCTTGTGGCATAAGCCTTTGCAGAAGGTAAGCTATTGATCTTGGTCAAAAATGGCATGAATGCATCTTGGTAATCTAATATGAATAATCTCAAGCTACCAATTGCCTGTTACCCAAAAAATTTAATTTCAATCACTTTGATTAATAGCTTTGAATCACAAACAGTATGCCTCTCTAGAATAGTTATAAACTTATAATCCAAGTAAAGAAAGTATTCAATTTTATTTAGTATTTTCCTTATTATTAAAAAAAAAATGTTGGTGAAGATTATCAACGCTAGCTAGACTTTTAGCATATCTTATAGTTAAACGTTTATATGATTACCTGATCCACCGTGACCCCACCCATATTAATCTCCAACTGTTCTTTTGTTATTGTGCTTGTTTGATCACCGTAGAGTGTGGGATCTAGAGTGCTTCGTGGGGGAAACTCCTGCCATTATTAACAAAGAATATGAAGAAAGATGATACATATTCTGATAGTGACCCATTGTTAGGCTGTTAACAGTTTAAAACTAACATAAAATTCAGCAATAAGGCATCATAATGATAAAATATTTGGACTTACTTGAAGACGGCGAATTACACAAGGATTTACCCCAGCAACCATCTCCCTAGCAAATTCATCATCAGTCATCCAAGCAGACTTGCTAACTGCTCAAAATGATAAAATAAAAACGTCAAATTGGGTTAATTAATTAAAAAAGTCATAACATTTAAATTATTTGATTAAAGTGTAAATCAACCTCTGGTTACATGGGGTGGTGGAAATTTAAGGACACTTTCACCATCAGTGCGGAAGATTTCACTGAGGACTGGTAAGGGGCTAATTTGGCTAATTATATTTGTTGGCAGCTTGATTCCACCTTCATAGAGTTGATGCACATCATCGAAGCTATCAAACTCACTCTTTGTGACACTTAAGTCAAAAATCGCAGATTGGAACATAGGTATGACGTCCTGAGATAAAGATTTTATTCCATAGGTGAGAAAATCTGATGACTTCAAGTGACCAAAATTTTCATCTCTTGGAACATAAATCTCGCCCAGTTGCTCACTGTTAGGATCTGTAATTAATCAAATATATATTAGTAAAATAAGTATGAAAAAAGACAATCGAAACGTAAATTGGGTGGCCAAAAAATGCTAAATTCATTAAACGTAGCCCCAAAAATAATAATCCATATTTGTCAATCATATTGCAAAAATTCCACAACTTCATTCACAAATTTATTTGTGCCTTTCAAGTTTTAATCCCTGCTTAGTGCTTAACAAAACTTTACCAACTCAATCACATGTTCTCAATGCAATTGTGGAACAAAACTACATTCAAACTAGATATATCATTATTAATTATCCATAACAAATAAAATAATTTAATGTATAAAATTTTAAAACTAAAACACTAACCTGTCTTTGTGGGTTTTCTACCAGTTCTAACCCTGCGAGGGTAAGGATGAGTGCTAGACCCTCCAAGGACTGGGCGAGCATTACCATGATCTGGATCGCCCAAATCATTATACACATCATAATCATAGATCCTGTCATATATCTGACGCTCTCCAGTCCCATCTCCTCTTAGATTTTTTAACTCTTCTTCTCTATACTTTACTAAAGGAGATGGTGTTGCAGTTGGAAGATATGTCTGCAATATTTACAAAATATTGTAATCTGAATCATTAAAAATAGATGTCACATGTAGCATCATGTATCATTATTCTTATCTCTATTATTCTTTATGTTTTATGTATATAGGTAGTTCAAAAATAAATGTCAATTACAAAAAAGTGACACCTAAATTTCAAAAGTGACTGTGATCATAATTGAAGAAAAAGGGGGGGCTAATAATTTTGGTTAATTAAAATTGTAAAACTACGTGTTAGGGGGGTTAGCTTACGTTATTGTCGAAGAAGATGCGGCCCTTTTTGTGGTAACGATTAAAGTTGTAAATCCATGATTTACAGAGAAAGTGAATGGTTCCATGGTTTGGAATGTCTTCAAGAGTGACACTGACGAGGAAGAACTCATCGGTCATAAAATTCTTAATGTAAAATGCTCCTGGAATTCCAAAATCAGCATTCCATTCAAAATAAACACTGAATGCATCCTGTCTTGCTCCCAACGTTGGTAACGTTGGAAGATGTTTATCCAAATACGCTTCGCTTCCAACTTTCCCATCTCCATTTGCTACAACAACCATTCAATTAAAAATAAGAAAGAGGATTAAAAAGATTACTTTGTGATGGAACAATAATCTTTAAATAATAGTGACACTTGCATCAATATTTTAATTTGTATACTTCAAGTGTCTAGCTGTCGTTTAATTTATAAACTATGTAGTGCGATGTTCTTGAAATAAAAAAAGTAAGCTACATCACCCACCTGTATACATATATAATTATTTTAAACTAGGGTAATTGAGTTATAATATTGAATAGGTGCTCATATATTCAGATGGAATTTTAAAAAAAATATATAATATTTTCATTAAAAAAAGAGAGTACATTTTGAAAAGTTTGAGCGTGTATAGAAAGGACAATAATTGTTATATATTCATGAAGTATATATGTATATAGTCAAAGATAAAAAAAAAATAGGTGTGAGTTTAATTTTAATTTATTGTTGATATAAAATTTTTATAATGTTAACTAATTAGAAGATATATAGAATATAACTTTTAAATTAATTATTATAAAAATAATTTTCTTTTATGTGAGGTTACATAATTAAATAAAAGTTAAACTTTTTCGTACTTTCACTATATTTTAATTAAATTCTAAAAAAACCTAAATAATATGATGCGACATATAATTGTAGGACATTTTTTTTAAAAGAAAAACAAAAAATACTAATACAGGTATACGAAAGTAAAACTTATGTAAAAATGTTTACGACTGTTACAAAATTTTATTTTAAATATTGAAAAAAACACTTAATTGTGTTATTTATGTAAAATTATTTGCAAAATGTTGACTACACAATTTTTGTAATATATTTTTAGATATTGATTAAAATTTATCAAAAATTATAAAAATATAGATATGTAACTCACTCTTTTGTTCTTTTACAATTTTAAAAAAAATTAATCAATAATTAAAAAATATTAAAAAGTATGTTATTCCTCAAATCATTTTACATAAACAGCAAAGTGAAGATAAGCAACTAGTCCTTCCATTACTAAGGTTTGAAATCCATAAGACACTACTGTGTTGATGTTATGTGTGAGAAAGGAATTGAAGAAAGGGAAGAGAGAACAAACAATCAGTTTTGGTAGCACTGATCAACTGCATGGAGACGCTGCGACCTAAGAAGGAAGTAGCAGCGTCAATAGCACCGCCAACTATGCTTGTGGCGGTGTCAAGAAAACCACCAACGGCGCCAGCAACACCGCCACTCCCAACTGAAACGACGGCGTTGAAGTCCAAAACATTTTTGGGCATCAAAACCACTGTGCCCTTTATTTTCTGGCTCTTATTGCCAAAGATTGGAAGCATCTTTGCTTCTTCTTTTGCCAATTAAATGAAAGAGATTTAAGATTGTAGCTTAGCTTGTGAGTTTTGATGAAGCCAATTATAGCTATTTATAGCCAGTGAGATCAAGAAGAACCATAAACGAGGCTTTATCTTATGTTCCAATGGCTAATTTTTTTATTATGAGCTACTTAGTCCATATGCAACACGTGAATATTAAATTGATTCCTTTGTTTCTTTACATGTTTTTTTTGCCTTTTGTTTTTATATGATAAACTTTGATATTTACGTATTAAAAACAATGTTTGCTTTAAATACTTTTGACATTTAATAATATGTGTGTAAGAAAAATTAGATGTAGCATGATTGTAATTTGGGTAAAATATATAACTTTGAAAGGCAATTAAATCATATTATCCTCTTGTCTGTTTCAAATAATCAGAAAGATTAATTATGTTACGCTTTAATTAGTAAGAACTGATTTTAATGCAAAAATTATAAGACCTGAGTTAAAAATTTAAAATTGTAGAAATTGATTTCGAAATTTAATAAAATTATTCAGACTTATAGAGTGATTTAACTATTTTATACATGATTATACATGCGTGTACATTCTTCTTGGTTTAAGAGCATAAGAAAAATAATATAATTTTTCATGTTAATATTAGTTAGACGAAAGCTTTCCTTTCTTTGTTCAAACCTTATCTTAATTGGCCCCACTTTGTATAAGATATGTAAGTGGTTGAGTATTTTGCAGAAAAGATAACTTCAATGAAATTGAAGATAAAAAATTTGATAGTGTGAAAATATTTTGTTCATTAATAAAAAATAGTTGTCATATACTAATGAAAGAAAAATGATATATGTTATGATTGTCTCACCCAAACCAACCCAATCACATGCTTGGGTGGGATTGAATATTGGGGTTAACAACTATTAAAAGATATATGAATTGTAATAAAGAATTATCAAAAGGTCCATTGAAGTCAATTTGAGTTAAACTTAAATTCATTTATAAATAATTTTCTACTTTAAAATAAAGTTTAACGTGATTTTATGAACTTTCCATGCACCAGGGTGCCAAGAATGAAGAGCCAAAGATGCAAATCATCGAATGCAATGTGCACGAGAAAGAACGAGATGATTACGTTAATGGATTTTTTTGCTTTTACTACCCTAATTACTCGAATTTATCATATTCGTCAACATCTCTAAAAGAAAACCATTCACATGAAATACAGAAAATCTAAAAATATACAACTTTTTTCTTTGAAAAATTTGTTGACGACTTCTTTAAATGCACTAGGTAGAAAAATAAAAAAATTAATAATAAATATAATACATTTATCGTTTGACAAATGAATAAATTATACTCCAGTCTTCTCTTATTTCAAAATTCACACTTCATATATACAGTTCATTTTATAGAGAATGAACTTTTTAGAGACTTTTTTCTTTCTCGTTATTTTTAACATAATTGACAACTAATTAATTTTAAACATTTATTATCAATTTTATAATTTTAGAAGCTAAAATAATAATTTTATTATAGAAATATGAAAAAATTTATTATATCTTATAAAATATTAAATTATATTTAAAATGAGTTGTTAGCAGTAGTTAATATTGTATATAAAGTTAAAATGTTATTGAAAGAAACATTCATAACAATTTTTGTTAAAAAAGATTATTTATATTTAAACTGATTAAAGTGTAGTTCATAGTTATCTTTTAGAATAGTATAAAATTGTAGTTTTAACACCTTTTAAAGAAGAAAAACATAACGTATGGTAACTAAAATTATTGAAATTTTTAGTCAATGCAATAAGGAGGTGTATTTCTCTATGATCCAATGACTTTTGCATCTGAGCCATCTCTATAATGTACTTTTTTTTTATGATTATTACTGGTTTTAATTATTTAAAAATAATAAATATTCATACTGTGCATTTAACAGTGTATATTTTTCTAATTTCTTAAAATATGTCTTGAGCCTTAAAAATTTAATTTAAGGGACATCTTAAAAAGTTACGCCATGCACTCTCTGGCTAAGGGGAAGGCACATTTTGAAAGCGCTTTTATTTTATGCGAAGAGGGCACACTCTCTCATATGTAATAATAACATAATAGGCATGAAAATGACTATTACCTAATGCAAATATTATACAAAACTTGGGCACCTAGTTTTAGGAATTAAGGTATATGAAATGGAGATTTCTTTGATTTTTATCAATCATATTAACACAACTCAACAAAGCTTAACAAAGCATATTCTATTTCATTCAAAATGGAAAAAAGCGTCTCATATAACAAGTTATGTAATTGTAAATAAAAAAATAATGTTTTTATAAGTTTTGATTTCGTTATCTGTTTTTTTTTTATTTTAATTTGTAAAAATATTTTAAATAAGTTGATTTTTATTAAAAATGCTATCTCCGTTAAAAAAATTTGTCATTTTTTTACCAATCATACTACATAAATATTATTCATCGATCTGTTCAAATCTCTCCCCCACTTCTTCTTCTATTTCATTTTCATCTTTTTTTATGATTTTTTTATACTTTTTTCTTTACCTTCACAACAACAACTTTTTAATTTATTGTAATTTTGAACAAATAGAAAGAATAAAAAAAAACAAATTAAAAGAAAAGAAAAAAAAAGAACTACATTTTTTAACCGTTTATGGACAAGAAATATTTGTATAAGTTATATTCGGTGAGGGTGGTGCCTAAGATGGCCTTCCAGAAATTTTCTCCATCATGGTCTCTTTCATTATCTACCGTTAGATATAGTATAAAATAATACAATGATTAAGATTAATCTATTTGAATCGATCGTAGACTCCAATGTGTTGAAATTGCAAATAAAAATGATTCGCATGATGATTTGCTACGTGGATTGCATGATACCTTTTACAATATCAACCCTTACAAATAAGAAAAAAAAAATAAAAAAATATAATTTTTAAAAAAATCTTGCTATAAAAAGTCACTCAAAACTGGTCCACCATGGTTTCAATTTTAAAAATAAACAATTATATAAAAATAATAAGTATGAGAGATAAAAGTCTCATGTCTAAGAATGAGAAAGATAAGTAATATATAAGTGATAAAAATTTATAGCATAATTCTTTAAGATTTTTCAATTAGATATAAAATTTAAAATATATAAAAAAACAAAATTTTCTTACACTAATATAAGTCTAAAAAATTCTTACATTTGATTTAAATTTTTTATTTAACTTATATTTAATGAATTATAATTTATTAATTTACTAACCATAAAATATAAGTTAAATGAAAGACTCATATTAAATGTAAGAATTTTTAAATTTATGCTAATGTAAAAATATTTTTATTTATATAAGCTTGTCCTTTTTTAAAAAATACTTTTTAAATTTCCTTTTAGATTTAACTTTAATCTTATATTTTATTTAAGTGGAACTCAATTTAAGATTGAAAAAGAAAATTGAATTAATCTTTTGGGTGGCTTGTTTATTTAAAAATTCTTAACAGCTGTATTTATAATCTTTTTACTTGTATATCATTTACCTTATTTCTTAATCCGCTGATGTAGAACTTTTATTATTTAACATTACTAAATCTTTTTTTAACATAATTGTGTAAATTTTTTTATATTACCATTTAATTTTATACTAGTGTTTCAGGTATGCAATTAAATATATAGTAATATATTGATAAATATATATATTTTTTACATTATTAGGGTATTAAGTTTGAATTTTTAAAAAATTTTGGTGATAGTTTAAAAACTTGAATGAGTCATTTAGATTCTTTCATAAACTTTAAACGACTGAACTGGACTTTTTATGTTTGTATTAAATAATTAATAAATAATTTAAAGAAACTCAAATAGTATATAATATTATATGAGGTCATTTTTACAATCTGATGTTATATCCATTATTTCTACGAATAAATTGAACAATGTTATTTAGTTGCATGTAAATGTATACTGTTTAAGATTTAGTTAATCACCACTTCAACTTTAAAATTACAGGCAGAATTGATTATGCTAAAAGCACATAATGAAGTCATGTGATTCTTTATCGTTGCCATGCATAGTATTAAACAAAATATGAAACAGAGTTGGGAATCGGACATGGAGATATTATTAATGATATTTTTATCTTTTAATAAATATTTGCGATTCTTTTAATAAACATAGTTTATGTTATTCAATAATGTGTGTCATCTTAATCATATTTATTACATTAAAGATATGGGTACCGTGCAAATGATTCACATAGTCATATATAATATTTTGAGATATGAGATATCTTGTAGATTATTTCTTCAATGGTCTCAGATGAACCAGAAGATTGTAAGCCACATGCTAAATACAGATCAAAGCCCCACAATATATTATGTGGTCTGGATCAAAATGTTAGAAAACTATTTTAAAAAATGATGACAAAAGAATTAAAAATATATTTATCAATCACTTTATTAATCTTTTATTGCTATTTAAGAAAAAAAATCATTAATTGTTACAGAAGTTTTCTTGCATAGATCGAAATTGTAGGGGAGTTGATCTAAAAGAAAATAAATGTGTTTTTAATTTTATATTTTAAAAAATTCAAATTATAATTTAAGTAAACTTTGTATATAATTTAAAAAAAAATAATTTCAGTCACTTTGTTTCCTAAAATCACAAACATATAGCTTCAAATGCCTCTATAGAACAGTTCTAATCCAAGAAAATATTGATTGGTTTTAATATATTAACTATATTTATTTTTATTATTATTAAAAAAATTATAGATGAATATGGGGCACCCTAGCTAGAAATTTTTATATGATATTTTATAGTGAAACATTTATATGATCACCTCATCCACCGTGACCCCACCCATATTAATCTCCCACTGTTGTTTTTGTTATCGTGCTAGTTTTAGATTGCATTGTGCGGGAAATTGCTGCCATTGTTGAAGAATAATATGAGCATAGATGATAATTAGTACACAGACATTGACTCTTTGTTAGGCCATAAAACAATTTAATACCAACATCAAAAATCAAAATTCATCAATGATTTGGGCTGTTAAGCTCCTCTAATAATAATAATAAA